TATAGTAAAATGCTGAAAGTCCGAGTCTTTTTCTACCCACCCGATACCCTTACAATATGATGAAAGTATAAACAATGATAATACTATATATATATATATATATATATATATATATATATATATATATATATATATATATATATATATATATATATATATATATATTAGCCTACAAAAGCAAAATGCAACGGCTAGTATATAATATGTCTTATGTTACAGTAAAGAGACCACGAAAGCACAAATAATGCTTTAATATTCATTATAGAAAACCCGCTACAAGAATATGGATGAATGAATTAGTAATTAGCATGAATTAACCGGCCACATGTACTGTCCACTGCAATTTCGTCTTGTGAACTTTGATCACACGTCGACGGCCCCAAAGGTGTCAGTTAGTAGCCCCTTCGAGATCTCACTGATATCCCTATTCCTTGAATTTTCTACTGCTATTCATTCGGATACTGTTATAATAATTAGTGATACTGTGATAGGCGTAATATTATTAAAATGCTAAAAAAAATGTATACAAAACGGGAATCAGAAAATTAAGGAAAAGGATGAGATAGATAGGACTAAAAACTGACTCCTTAAATCACAGCGGGCAGCATATATATACAAATATCATCACTGAGTCAATGTGTCGTTCTGGTTACTGACTGCAGTCTGTAATAAAAAAGAAAAAAATACTCTCGCTTTTGTTTTAATCAGGCTCAATTCTACCATACATCGGTTATATCCGTTATTGTAAAATCAGTGATAGAGTAACTATCTTCATTCAGAATATCCATGTGTTAAAATACAGATATTGAGAATTGTATCTATTCTCTATTAATTCCACTATCTCATGAAAGAAAATAATAGTAACTGACCGGCCATTTCTTTTCCGTTATAATCAGCTGACACTACTGATGTGTAACTGTATGGTGTCTTAAAACTAATATATAATATTTTTTTATTTTTTGAGTTACACCATTTTTTTTTTTCTTTTAAAAAGACTTTGGATCGGAGTACTCTAGAATTCGGAGTGAGTTACCATTTTCCTTTTCCTGAGACTGTTCGGCGTTTATCGAGTTCAGTGCATGGTGGTGAATCGCGCTGATATTTGTGAACCTCAGAAGCCCGAGACGCTCCACTGGTTCGAATTATTTAAGTTCTCTATGAAGAGGTTTTGCGTCAGTACGTAATACATCAAACCTAAACTTCAGGAAAATGGACAAGGTCCATCTGAATGCTCGGTACGTATTAAAGCATATCTTCGAAAGACAAAGAATAAAGAAGACTGTACAATCATTGCCTATAAGCTATTTTTACACCTGAAGAAACGATTTATTTTTGCTTTGCTAACTATTAGTTAAAGGGTATGAAATGCAGTGGAAACCTACCACCACTACGAATGACATCGATGTTTCTGCTGCTTTTGTCTTGGTGAAGAAAGATGTAGAAGCCACTTTCCATATAAGGACTCTGAACCAATAGGTGTCGAGGCGGTTTGTCCAAGGTTACTTTCCTCTCAGGCTCTGGCGAGTCTCCCAGCTATATGGTGAGGAGCAAAAAGAAAAGCATATACAATTTAGAAATTACGAAATTATATCTATTTCATACTGTCATCATCGGGAAGCCGAATGCTTAGATCTTTCGGGAGCGAATTAGGATTTGTAATGTAATGTAGCATTAACAACGTGAGGCAATTTTAACAATATCTATACTTAACTGAAGAAAAACGGGAAGGAATAGATTTTGACTTACATATAATGAGGTCCATATACTATTATGGGGAAGCATTAGTAAACAAAGTCATTAGAAAACATGGGTTGGGAGCAAACTCTTCAAGATCGTAATAATAAATCCATAATTCCGTTACATATATGTGTGTGTGAGTGTGTGTGCGTATTGTGTGTACGTGTGTATACATATATATAATGGCTTTATGAAAGTAAATATTCAATATTAATCCCCATTTATTTACCACGCCACCACCCTACCATTCCTCCGTCACAGTCACCATGCCATCCCCTTCCTCAGCATCTCTTTGCCATTCCTCCCCCACTCCATCACTGCAAATGTCCATCATACCATCACCTGTCCCGATGTCATTCCTCCACCCAAGTGCCCCCCCCCCATCCTCCATCGACAAAAAAGCGGCAGCAGTCGAAAAGAGTAATTGATTCCTAATTCATTACTTTCCTAGAAGCCATCAATATTCATGATTATGAAACTTTGCTGGCATCGCCCGCCGCTACTGGGCATGAGCGTGAGTAGTTCCAGTTAGGAGAAACCACTTCACTAACCGTGAAAGCACACGAAGAATAATTTGAATTTAATGTACACGCCAGAGAAAGATTGTGCAGGACGAATGCCGGAAGTGCCCGCTGGAAATCCAGGGTCGACAGACCACTACTGCCAAGGCCCAATTCGACCTTGTGGTTCTCCAGTATGAACCTCGGCAAGATCTCGTGGACAGAGTAGACGCTTATTCGGTGCCACTCCGAGTGGTCGAGGG